CTGCCAAGGGAAGGAGCCAGCAGGCACCAGCCCAGGGACTAGGATGGCCGAGATGTGCCTAAGGCAGGTGCAGGCTGCAGGCCAGCCATCGATCCTCCTCTGCCTCTGGCACATTTTGTTCCCCATCTCATTTCATTAGAAGCATGGTGCTTCCACTTCCTCCTGCCCCTTGCCATCCCCTGGGCACCCCAATCGCTGTCCCTCCTGCCCCAGCACCCCATGGGTGAGGCATGGCACAGTTGGGGTGTCTGCAGTGGCTCTGCTCTCCTGAGTTGTCTGTGTGGGGTGGGAGCTGGGGCTCACATGCTTGGGCTTGCTGCAGGTTTCTGGAAAGCCACCTGCCCCTCGACCTGCTCCAGCCCTCTCCTGGCCTTTGTCAATTCCAAGAGCGGGGACAACCAGGGTGTGAAGTTTCTGCGCAAGTTCAAGCAGTTCCTCAACCCAGCCCAAGTCTTTGACCTCATGAATGGAGGCCCACACCTGGGGTAAGTGCCAGCCTGGGCACCCTGGGGTGGCTCCAGCAGGGACCTGGCAGACACCTGGCACAGCCCCCAGCCCCTCACTCCTTGCCCTCCACCCAGGCTGCGCCTCTTCCAGAAGTTCTCTACCTTCCGGATCCTGGTGTGTGGGGGGGATGGCAGCGTGGGCTGGGTGCTCTCCGAGATTGACACCTTTGGCCTCCACAAGCAGGTGAGCAGGAGTGCCTGGCATCACCAGCACAGGCTGTCATCATCCCTAGCACTGCCACCCTCCCCAGCTGGAACCCCCGGTGTGCCTTGGAGTGCTGTAAAGGACGGGCATGGCAGGGTTGGTGGTGTCACAAGTGCCCTTGAAGGCCACTCTGAGCACCCTCCACCCCCCCTCCGCCTTGTCCCTCTCTCACAGTGCCAGCTGGGTGTCCTACCCCTGGGGACTGGAAATGACCTAGCACGGGTGCTGGGCTGGGGCAGCCTGTGTGATGATGACACTCAGCTGCTGCAGATCCTGGAGAAGCTGGAAAGGGCCACCACCAAGATGTTAGACCGGTGAGCGTGGCGTGGAGCATGTGCTTCCCTGACCCCACCCCTGCCTTGGCACCTTTTAAGCAGCTTGTCCTCATTCCCTGGCTGTCCCTATGGAGGTGGCAGACAGCCATGGTCTTTGCTTGGCAGGTGGAGTGTGCTGACCTATGAGGCCCCCAAGCAGTCCCCCTCAGCCATGAAGGAGGAGGAGAATGGGGACTCCAACATCCAGGTGGGTGTTGTTGATATTTGAGGGCTCAAGGTGGGGACAGCACGCTGTGGGGCAGGTTCCTCTTCAACAGCCAGTTTGGGGGACACAGGGAGGGATTGCACAGGGAGAGGTCATGCTGGGGGTCCTTGGGGATTTCAGCTGTGAGAGGGCTGGCAACCAGCTGCGTGCAATGAAATGAGTCTGGCAGTTTTTACCCTGGCATGTGCAGTTGGGTGCAGGCAAGCGGTGAGGTAGAACTGGCCTGCTACTGGATGGCTGTTCTGGACTCTTCCATGTACTCCCCTTCAGCCCCTTGCCTCAGTTTCCCTCCTGCTGTGGCATCCCCTCTGCCCAGTGGCATGAGCATGGCTGCTCTCAGGGCTGGGAAGCAGCCTGAAGAAGGGCTGTTCATCCCCAGTCCAGGGCTGGGTGGGCAAGGTTCCATCCTCAAGTGGGGCACATGGCAGAGTGGCAGGGCTCCAGCTGTCCTTCCCTGTGCCCCCCCAGGCCCAGATCTCCCATTATGCCGACTCTGTTGCCTTCCACTTGGCCAAGATCCTGGAGTCAGACAAGCACTCAGTGGTGATCTCCTCTGCAAAGTAAGGAGGGGGCTGGTGATGAGGGTGCTGGAGCCCCCTTACTGGGCTGGAGCATGTGCCCAGGGGTGCTGAGCCCCCCTCAGCCAGGCTGTTCCCTGTATGGCCACCAGCAGCTGCCAGCTGTGTTGGTGTCCAGCAGATAATCCTGGTACTGCCCCTCTGAAGTGGGGGATGTTACCTCCCTGGCCAGCATCTGTGCCCAGCTGGCCATGCTGTGCCGCTCTCCAACTCCTGCTGCTTCCCTTGGCAGGTTCCTCTGTGGCACTGTCAATGACTTTGTGGCCGAAGTTGGTCGGGCTTACAAGAGGGCAACTGAAAACAAGCAGGAGGCAGAGCTGATGGCACGAAAGGTGGGTGGTAGGGGAGGTGAAGGTCTGGGCTGAGCTGGTGGCACAGCTCCTGAGCAGTGGAGGGGCTGGTGGGGGCTGCTCTGGCGGGGCCATGCCCTTGCTGTGCTATACTTGTAGTATCCAGGCAAGCGTGGGGTGCCCAGGCGTGGACTGTCTAGGTGTTTGGGGGTGCCCAAGCACTCAGGGTGCCCAGAGAAGTGCCCACCACTGGTGGGGAGCAGCAGCTTGTGCCAGGTGCTGAGTGATGGGTGTCCCACAGTGTGCCATGCTGAATGAGAAGTTGGACTCACTGGTGCGGGAACTGAATGAGGAGGCTCAGGCCATTGTGGTCCCTGAGGGAATGGCAGAGGCCACTCCTGCTGATGCCAGAGACCAGGAGAAAGGTGACAGCTTCAATCCCAGCCCTATGCCTCGCATCTTCAAATCCAAGGAGCAGCTAATGCTGCGTGCGAACAGCCTGAAGAAAGCCCTGCGGCAAATCATTGAGCAGGCGGAGAAAGGTGAGGGGATGGTGGTGGCTGGCAGCTCCCCTGGTGCTGCAGCTGCCTGACACACGCTGTGTAGCTGCTGTGGGTTGATGCTGGACCCATGCCTTGATTGCCCCTTGGAATCCTTGGGATGACAGCAGTGCCATGCTGCCCAAGGGCATCAGCCCTTCTCTGATGGTTGGTGTGGCTGAGGGAGCTGCTACCCTAGGCCCTGCCTGGCGTGAACCCACAAGGCTGACGTGGGGAGGGGAGCACAGGCCCACAGGGCTGCTCAGACTCCCTGTCATGTCCCTTTTTGCATCCAGCTGTGGATGAGCAGAACAAGCAGACCCAAGCCTACCAGGGCACTGCAGGCCCCAGCAAAGACAGCTCGGAGGAGCTCAACAAGGAGGAGGAGAGGCTCAGTAAGATGCCAGTGGGGCATGTAGTTTTTGGGGGGGCATGGGGGTGTGGGATGGGCTCAGGGTGAAAGCCCATGCAGCACCTGCCTTCCTCTCCCCTCTGGCCAGGCTCCCGGCGGGAGACGGTGACCTCTGCGTCTTCCTCCATCATCCTGGACCGGCCAGACACCTTTGGCAGCTTGCAGTTCCCTGAAGACCCCAGTATCCTGTGAGTCTGTGGTCCTGCCTGCCCCAGGGACCTTGGCCTTCCCTTGCTGCCCATCATGGAGTCAGAGCAGAGCTATTTCCATTCTACCTCTTGGAGGTGACCTCTGCCCACCATTGTGGCATTGCTGGTGCCTGGGCCTAGCAGTGTCCACACTGGGAGAGCCTGCCTGTGCTCAGTGCCTGATCTCTCCTCACTGCCAGCCCCTTGACCAGCCCTGTGCTCTTGCTGAAAGCTGGGGGCTACCTGCTGCCCAGTGCAGGCAGGTCCTGGGTGTGTTGGGGTTGTGCCACCATGGGGACTGAGGCAACTCCAGCCATCCCTTGCTAGCTTTGGTCAGGCTTCCCAGTGCCAGTCCCTCCGGGAGCTCACACCACTGCTCTGGTGGGTGTCATACCCCATCCATTGGTGCTAGCCCAGCAGTGCTGGTGTGTGGCTGCCTCTCGACCCACTGTCCCTGTCTGCTGCTTTCAGCCACTTCTCGGAGAAATGTGTGATGAACAACTACTTTGGCATTGGCCTGGATGCGAAGATCTCGCTGGAGTTCAACAACAAACGGGATGAGCACCCCAAGAAGTGCAGGTTGGCTGGAATCCCCTAGATTCCCCCGGGAAAAACATGTACCCCTGGCTCTTTGAAGCCTGCACCAGGAGGGACCGTCAGGCTCCCGGGAGCCATGGGGTGGCTTGGCGCTGCTGTGCCGAGCTGGGGACTCCTTCCTGCACCTGTACCCAGTGCTGGGATGAGCACCCCTGGGTGGGTAGCAGGCTGCAGGCACCCCGGGAAGGGTGAAAACATGAGGGCTTGGTGGGATTTACTCACTCTGCACCTGGATAGAAGGACTGCCATGCTGGTGTGGAAGGGTGTACATCTGGGAGCCATGGGCTGCAGCCTGGCTCTCCTGGGGGGCAGTGGGCAAAGCCCTGCTCAGGAAGTGGGGAAACTGAGGCAGGGCCAGCAGTCCAGGATGGTTTAGCACAGTGCCTGGGGAGAACACAGAGCCTGTTGCAGGCAGTGGAGAGCCTGCAGCCCCTCACCCATCACATTTTTGCCCCACAGCAGCCGCACGAAGAACATGATGTGGTATGGGGTGCTGGGCACAAAGGAGCTCCTGCAGCGCACCTACAAGAACCTGGAGCAGCGGGTACAGCTGGAGGTACAGGCCAGGGGAACAGGGATAGGGCATGGGAGGGGCAGCATTGCAGCAGCCCCCCAGACTCAACCCTCTCTTGCAGTGTGATGGGGTGCCCATCTCGCTGCCCAGCCTGCAGGGCATCGCCGTCCTCAACATCCCCAGCTATGCTGGGGGCATCAACTTCTGGGGAGGCACCAAGGAAGACAATGTGAGTGCGAGTGCTGTGAGGTGGGTTGGGGGAGCATGGCATCCTTCCTACAGTCCTGGAAAGCCCCAAGGCTGGTGTGTCCCTGCCTTGGCCACACATGGGGGAAAAAGTTGGGTCCCAAAATGAGCCCAGTTTGGCAGTCTCACTTGGACTGGTCCTCTAACAGAACTTTGGAGCTCCGTCCTTCGATGACAAGAAGCTGGAGGTGGTGGCTGTTTTCGGCAGCATCCAGATGGCAGTATCACGGGTCATCAACCTCCAGCACCATCGCATTGCACAGGTAGGGTTAAGGCACCCTGAGGACCCTGAGTGATACCAGAAAGCTTTTAGGGCAGCAGTGGAGCCTGGGGCAATGCAGCTCCACTCGGCTTGGCTCCTGGCTGGTCCCAGGAGGCTCTTCAGCCAGAAGTGCAGCACCAACCATGATGCCAACCCTGTGCTGTCTGCCACACAGTGCCGCATGGTGAAGATCACCATCCGGGGGGATGAGGGCGTCCCTGTGCAGGTGGATGGAGAGGCCTGGATCCAGCCACCTGGCATCATCAAGATCCAGCACAAGAACCGAGCTCAGATGCTGACTAGGGACCGGGTGAGCTTGGGGTGCAGTGGGGTCATGCTGGGACATGGGAAGGTGTGACAGGCTCAAGGGGGCTATGTCTGTCCCCCACAGGCATTTGAAAGCACCCTCAAGTCCTGGGAGGACAAGCAGAAGGGGGAGAGCTACCGAGCAGCTGCCCGGCCACGGCTCAGCTCCCAGCAGTCCATGGAGTACCTGACCGAGGAGGAGAGTAGCCTCTTGCAGGAGGTCTCACGGGTAGCTGAGACCCTCATCTCCAGGTCAGACTGTGGGAAGGGTGATGTGGTGGGCATGGGGAGAGGGGAGCTGTGTGTGGGCCACACAGAGCTGCCTGCCCAGCTCAGGGGAGCCCCAGCAGCTCCAGGCCCTGTCACCCACAGGATCCACGAGGCAGCCAAGGCTCACAAAGCTGTGGAGCAGGAGCTGGCGCATGTGGTCAATCCTCTCCAACAAAGCCACTGGCACCTCAGAGGTGAGCTGGGGCTAGTAGTGAAAGGCAGCCTTCACCTACACACCCTGGAACCATGTCATTCAAGGGGTTACC